TTCGCCCATATCAAATTCCTTCCTTCCATGAATAGTTAGATCGTTGCGCTGTGTTAAGTACTGTTACTCACCTCCGCACAAGCATAGCATCCTTTCTTTGACGCCATGGAAGAGGCGCATTCTTGGACTTGAGGACGTTCCAGCAACCCTTCCATTGGGGTTTAGCATTGGGCTGTAAGGACCGAGCCGCCAGAATTCTCAAGTTGGTGCCCGTTTAGGATGCCCATCGGATACAAGCAACTGGCGGGCTAATCTTCGACGCTGCTGTGTGCTGGCGCGTGGTCGTCACAATGACGAATCTGGTGTCGACAGGTAGTTCTCGATACTCCTCAGTTCGCAGCGCTGCGACGAAGAGATCGGCAATGAAGCGGGCGTTCTCTTCCTTGTTATGGAGCCTTCGTGCGTTCGCAGTAGCACCAGCCCCGTAAGCGCTGAACCGCCACCTTGTACGTGCAGTTTTTTCCCCTGCGACGGTGAAAGCTGTACGACGGCTCTGTCGCCGATACGGGACCAGCCCTGTGACCGTGACAAATAGAGATTGAAATTGGTTTCGTCTTGATAGACGATCATGTTTTCCTTAGCAACATGGTCGTCGAGCTTCTCTACGAACGCTTTGCGCTTGATCTTGTTATCGGAGCTGTTCATTGTGGACTTCTCAATGCGTATCTTCTTAGTGCTATAAAGCATGCCTTGGAGAGCACGATTAACGGATGACTTGCCTACAACAACACCTAAGTCGCTACGCAGTCTGTCACATAAGTTAGTCAAAGTAGCCCTGCAATCCTCATCAATATACTCCTCGATTTTTGCATCACTTCAGCTGTCATTCTCCCACCGCGCCGGACCGACACCACACCGTGTCTCGCCGTTGGAGCGTTGCTCAGTTTAGCACCTCGAGCAGTCTCGTAGTTTGTGTCCTTGTGGATTGCAGCAAGTTCCGCACCACCACCTTCGCGGACGACACGCCTGACCCACTCCTTGGCTTGCTCTCGATGTGTGATCGCGCAGCGTGTTTGTGTTGACGGCTGGAGAAGAGATTGCTAAAGTCGAAGTGAGGAACGAGAATATTTAATCCTTCCGTCAGTCCCAACAACGTATCTGTGAGCCACTCGTTGTCTTTGTGTCAGCAGTACATGAACTTGTGCTATGGATTCGTTTTGGCGCCTAAATTTGGCGCTCTCACATTGGTTGGGACAGGAGATGAGCAAATTTGCTCAGGTTGGGAATAGTACTATTTTTGTCTGAGACGGTGACTTTTTTTTTCCTCTCATCTCCTTTTTTCACATTGCCTGGAAAACTTTTCAGTCAGCCCGGGAAATGGTGTAGTCGTCCTTCTGGGTGGGACAGTGCACTAAATGCCTTCGAAAGACTTTTTTTTACGCTCTGCAAGCAAGTTATGGTTTGCGCGCTTGCTTATGACATCGTAGCAGCGCACACTCTGCGTTGAACCATCCACCACTATGCATGTTCAGTGAGCTCCGTCAATATTCAGCGGCAAGAAATTTTGTTCCAAGATGGCTGCTGCTGTCAAGCTAAGTGTCGTGGGTGGAATACGCAAACGGCCTACCTGAACACATGGGTGATAATAGGAGAAGACGTACGAACAACGGTGGAAAGAAGGGACCAGAAACTGTAACAAATTCAAGCACACGGTCGCACATTGCACGTTATAATAGAGGCTTTATTTGCATTGAAAAGTCCGAAAAAATCACGTACCTGTGGCCACGAACTGCTGAGAAGCGGGGGGATGCGAAACAACGCTGTTCTTAGGTCGTTCGGCGGAAGTGAAGGAGGGAGAAGGTTTAAGCTTCTGGCAACGCGGGGCAGAAAGGTAAGTGGCCACAAATTAGTAATTTAACTTATCTACAAACATGGCCAATCAAGGTTTAAAACATGCAGGGAACCCGAAAATGCAATACTAAGATTAATACATCGACGTGAGCTGAGAAAATTAATAATTCAATTATTTGCATTATTCCGGCCCATACTCGAGCGTACCTTGTCCACCGCACTCAGGTCCCACAAGTCGCGATTGTAGTTCAGAAACATTATCATCTCAAGCCTGGCTGGAGACATTCGCTTCCGTAGATCAGACAGCACCAGCTTAGCAAGAGAGAAGAAGCGCTCACACTCGTTAGACGTTGGCGGGATGTACGCGACGTCAACGTAGTGCGAGCGCTTCACGACCTTGCGTTTCTTGAACGCTGCTCTCACAATAGAGCACTCCTCGGCGACTCTTGAAGACGACCGTTCGAGATCAGGGGACCTATATTCAGCGCAGGCTAATTTTTCCGCGACGTTTAGCGCCTCCCCACGCTGTAACTTGACTAGACCTTGCTCTAAATTGGGGTTGTTCACTATAGATGCCGCTGTTGACAGCCGAGGCTGTAGGGCTGGGTATTCCTTCACAACCTGGTCAAAAAGACGTCGCGAAGCGGACAAAGTTAGCGTAGACTTCTGCAGCTCCTTGGTAACGGCTTCAAAAGCTGCTAAATCTTTAAGAAGCGCCTTGACGCGCTCGTGCTCCGCACGCCGTAGTAGGAGAGGTTGCACATCATGCTCCACGAGGACATTGAGGCCCAGCTGAACAATTGCCGGCTGGAGTTTGGCGTAGCGCTCTACCATCTCGTACGTGCTCGACCATCTGGTGTCGTTCCTCAGCAGAGGAGACAGATGGGAGACGCGGCGAAGAATGGCTCTACCTTTGATCGTACGCAGCTTGGACATCAAGGTATGGACCTTGGTTATCAACTCGTCTTCGTTCTTGAGGAAGTCCTTGACCGCTAAATTAAAGCGGTGGCTAGCGCATCCGATTAGCGGTATAGCACCCTCCTTCCGGCCAATGTACTGGTTAACGGAGCAGTTATCGCCGACCATGAACTTCACTGCGCTCCAAGGCTTGTTGTATCGCGACAGCGTATCAGCGATTAGGTCGTACTGGCTCTGTGCGCTAAGATTTTCCTCCGTCTCTACGGGTGAGAAAGCTAGCAGCACGAAGCGACGAGATAAGCACTCTAAGTCCTCGTAGTAATCACTGGCCGCGCTGCTACCGGTTTTACCGGTATTACCGGTGGCACTGTCAAATACCGCAAAGATTGCAACGTAGTGACGGTTGCTGCTTGTCCAGCCGTCCAATACGAGACCAAATGATTCGGGTAGCTCACTGGCTACACGGCCCTCAACTACCTCGAACAGCAATACTATATAGCGGAGTAGCGTGTCCTCTGACACGGTAGAAAGTGCCACATTCAGCCGGGTGAGCCTTCGCTCCACAAATGCAAACGGGAGGCGCTCACAAATCACCCATTCGAGCCAACGGTGTAGATCCCGCGTACGTTGGCTGACTAGGCAAAGGTTTAGGGAATTCTGGCGGCGCGCAGCTTCTTGGGCTTCTTGCTCATAGTCCTCGTGGTTGCGTCGTAGGTGGTTTAGTAGATTCGTGTAGCCGTTGCCCTTCTTGTACTGCTTGCCGCAGGTCGTGCAGTTGTAGAATCCGTCACCAACCTCAGCGAAGAGCATTGAGCAAATTTGGCTGCTCGTTAGGACCATGATGGGCAGAGAGGGCACTGTAGCGGTAGAGGGGTGCCCAGAAGACTGTAGATTGAATTCTGAATGGATGTTTGGTAGGTTTGGACGTGGCCGGCAGCCTGTATTGTAAATGGCTGGTAGCAAGCGACCCTGTGGACTTTGTTGGCATGCACCTTAGCAATTTATGAATGAATTGTAATAAATTCAAAAATGAATTGAGGGGTAAGAATTAATAATTAAATTAAAAAATTAGGATTCATTTTTATGCATATTATTTTTTCGGGTTCCCTGAAAACATGCAAAAAAAACTAGAACTGATAGTAACATCGGCTGAAGATTTACCGTTTCGATAAACCAAATTGTCGGAACGTTGTTGCAAGTGACAATACTGCACCAAAGACAAAGATGAATAGCAGTTGATATTTAAAGAGGTACTCTTGAAGGAGTGATCGAAGCACAGGTTCGTTTTACACTGTGCTATTCACAACAGTCTCCCCAGGATGCCATCGATACAGCGCTCCAGAACTTCAAAGAGTGGCGATCGCTGACTGGCTCACGACCATGACGAGCGATCCTTCACGCGGCGTGTAGCCATTGGCATCGTTGGGGGTCAACAGGTCACCATCCGGGCCATCCTTCGGGGTCGTTGGCTCGTCGTAGGACTCGCGACGTCCCTTCACGTACATGACACTCATCATCGCCACCACAACAAGCGCGACAACCGCAGCAACTGCTCCAATGGGGGCACTGACGGATGCCGGACTGGGAGCTGAATTCGTCGTCACATTGACGCTGCCAGAGCTCTGAGCGAGTGCATTCTCTTTCGACGTGTCAGCTACAGATTCCGTTTCGCCGGTCCCGGAAGATGAAGAGTTCGTCGCCGTGCTTTCAGTAGCTCCCTGGTCTCGCAACACTTTGCAGCTGATGAGATACTGGTTAGCTTCGTTTTTAAAGTTGCGGCACAGCCGACATGAAGTCCTCGCCGAACAACCGAGAAGCGTCGGAGACGCCACGTTGCAGCGGCTTTCGGAGACGTACGAAATGCCTTCCAGTCCAGATCGCGACACAACGGACGAGCAGGTAGTGCTAGTCGATGCTGAAGTGGGTGACGGCGTGTTTGCCGGGGCGGATGTCGGCGAACTTGTCGGTGTCGTAGCGGTCCCGGTAAGACTAGAGCACCTTATAAACGGCGCGCTTTGCGCGGTCGCTCTCGTCTGGCAGAACCGGCACTGTCCGCTCTGGAAACATCCCAAGCCGTTTGCAGCGCACGAAGGATTCGACGCTGCCACAGCTGAAATCCCCACACCTTGGTCACCGACCGAGACGAACGACTGACAGGCAACGGTCGATTCCTGTGGAACTTTCGGACTCTTCGTGGACTCCGTTTTGCCGGTCGATTCGGTAGGAGAAGGCGTCGCGCCTGGGATCGCCGAACACAATTCCAGATGCGAGGCCTGACTGGTTTCCGACGTCCTACAGAAGCGGCATTGGTCACCGGACGGGAAGCATCCTAAGCCACCAGTCGTGCAGGAAGTGTCGGCCACTGCACTAATTCCAACGCTCTGGTCACCGGACGACACCCTGTCAGCACACGACGTAGCTGCTTCTGTAGTCCCTGTATTGAGCACAGTAAGCATCAAGAAGAAAGCGCTCGAAACCTGAAGAGCTCGCATCGATACTCGGCAGGTAAACGACTAGAACTTTCGAGTAGGAAACAGTCTGCCAATTGGCGAATGAGCTGCACCGCAACTCCACCGAACGACGAGGCGCTTGAAGCGAGTGAGGATAACGATGACAGCTTGCAACCCACAGCATCGCAAGCGGAGTTCTGCTTCACGCACGTTCTCCGCTGGGTGGAAAGCTGTCACGTTACTTGCTTCAAAGGGTGGCAAGTGTCAAGTACATGTATTTTCCTAATCTATTTCGCGAAACGACCCCACGCCGTCGCAACCAAGTGCGGTTGCAACGTCGCGAACTGCCTGTTTCTTCGCTCATTCTGTCTAGTGTCGCCACTTGATCTCATGGCCATTGAGCATTGGTGGCTCGAGGAATCCTCTGAAGTTTCGAGTCTCTGCATCCCATCGGGCCCCATACCCCAACGCGTTGCGGATTTCCATCGTCGCATGAGCGTGCGGGAGACTATGAATGTTTTTCCACGTAGCAGAAGCTAGTAGCTCACGGACTTTGGTCTCGGCGCGTAGATTCTTGGCCTTATCGTTGCCTTTTAACTCACCCCACCAGCCACTGGAGCTTCTGGCACAATGTTTGCTAAACGCTCGCGCACCGACCGTGAGCGGCTCATCGGGGGTATGACGCTGTGCAAACGCTGCGAGACATTGACGAAGCGTAAGAGGGGCCAAGGTGCGACTTCCCACGGTTTGCTGGAACCCCAGCAACGTCAGAAGCCCACGGGCGCCGCCGAAGTCGTCTACAAGTGCCGTTGTTGCTGTTAGAAGTTCGTCATCGGTGTCACTTATGACTGTAGCGATGAATGAGTGGATAGCGTCTATGGAGACATCTAGAAGTTGCTTTCGACTTGTGAACTCGGGCGTCACGCCTTCGATTGAGGCTTCGTCTGTGGTGAATGGCAATGTCCGGAGCGGATTCGTCCCGGTCGAATGCCACGTGTGGATAATTACAGCCACTTGAAGAGTGTATGATGTCTCTGACATCCCCACCAGAACTTCATCAACTGTCATGGATGTCGCTTGGATACCGTGGTCGCTTTCGTCGCTACCAGGTAGCAGCATTTGAGAGCGGAACTGGGCGGGGTCTTCGGCATCCTGAACGGACGCATCGCTTGAGAAATACGTTCGCAACGCCTGCTCAATGCAAGACAAAAGTGGCGATGGGAGGGTTGCCATTATTTTGGTCTTTGCAACACAGTGAACGACCATCACTCCTATTATGTAGCCAATTTTTTGTGAGCGACAAGTGAAAAGCGAAGAGTGGAGTTTGTCTATTTGCAAGTCGCTAGCGGCCTCAAATGTTCATAAAATAGTGGAGTGAAGAAGTGTAGGAGGGGAACAATCGAATCACGCAGCTGTGAGGGCTTCACTGCAGTCGTCATCCGATGTTGGAGCCACGGTCGAAGTCGGGGCCTCTGTTGGAGCAATTGATGGAGTCACTGTCGGAGTTATCGAGGCACTTGAAGCTGTCGCCTTGCAAGCGGCCAAGTGCGCGCTCTGCGGTGTGCTGAATGTCATGCAGAATCGACATGGGGTACCAGAGAAGCACCCCACGCCACCGCTGGACGGGCAATTGGGGGCATCTTCACCTGAAATACCGACGCTCTTGTCTCCGGGAGACACCTGGTCAGCGCATGACGCGGCCTTCGCGACTTGAACCCCGGTCCAGACCCAAAGCAGCACCATTCCGGTAATCCGGAGCACGCGCATCTCGATACCTGGTCTCTGCGTTGGCTGGTAGCCGGGCAAACGAACAATGTAGCGCATGAATGATAACTCGCTGTGATACTAAAGATATCGGAGACCTGTCATCAGACCGTGAAGATGAGGCAGCTAAAGATATCGGCGTGCCGGCGTTCGTGACATTCAACTTGAATTGCAAACTTTTAGCTACACAACCAGATTCAGCGTTGTTGCATTCGTCATGACGGGATATCTGTCCTTGTTGTAGTGTCGGAGAGCGCTGGCAGCCCAGGGGCCGCTTATATGAAACTGTATTTGCGTACGTTAAGCTTCAACCAGTTGATCACCTTGTTTTCATGCCCAACGGCTATTACTGGCACCTTCGAGTGTCCCGTTATTAGTACTCGTATGCCAGTGGTCTGTCGCTCGCTTCTTGATCTTCTCCTGCCTCGTGCGTAGCGACGTAACGTCTATCAACGTCGAAGGGGCCAGTAAAGCACGCGTGCACCACTCTAGGCAGCCAGCTGGGGCGTTTGAAGGCTGGTGTGCTTCTGAGACGACCCCCAGAGCACCTTTGATCCCTTGCTGGCACCGGAAGAGACGCAATCAGATCTCGATCGCCCTCTCCGTCCGCACCTCGCCCTGATCTATGAACAACCTCGAGAATTCCTTCATTGCCGGTGCTGGCGCCTATGTCAAAGGCAAGTACGCTATCACATCGACAGGGGTCGTCCGAAAGGGAACAGGACGCGCCTTCAGCGTCGTACCGGAAGAGCTGGAATGGGGCGGACAGGTGATCGGTCGAGGCGCCAGCGGCTGTGTGCTGATCTCGCGTCACCGACCGACCAATACGCCGTTGGCACTCAAGATGATTAACATGTACGACAAGATCAAACGTGAGCAGATAATCCGTGAGATCAACGCGCTGTTCGACGCAAAGTGTCCGTGTCTCGTAACTTTCTTCGGCGCGTTCCTCCGTGACGGAGCCGTGGTGCTCGCTCTCGAGTACATGGATGGAGGATCATTAGAAAACGTAATCCATCAGCTCGGTACCATTCCAGAACACGTCCTGGCTAGCATGGCCTTCCAGATCCTCCACGCGCTGTCATATCTCAAGACAAACAAGCGCGTTCACCGCGATATCAAGCCGCCCAATATTTTACTTAACAGCCAGGGTCAAGTCAAACTCTCGGACTTTGGTATCGCTTCCGAGCTCGGCAACTCAATCGGTAGGTCTTGATCGTCCGTGACGAGGCTTTATCAACTGCCATCTCTGACTTGTGTGTTCTTGCAGCCATGTGCGGTACGTTTGTAGGCACCTTCCGCTACATGTCGCCTGAGCGTATACAACACACGCAGTACAGCTACAGCTCGGACATCTGGAGTCTCGGTCTCGTGCTCATGGAGGCCGCAACTGGCGTGTACCCGTACCCAAAACACAAGGCTTGCATCGACATGTTGCAGAGTGTACTGGAAGCACCGCCGCCAGCTCTGTCGCCACAGTATTTTTCTCAGGATTTCTGCGACTTTTTACACCAGTGTTTGCAAAAGAACCCGCTCGATCGTGCGTCAGCGGATGCTCTGCTTGAATCACCTTGGCTGCAGCGCTGCGGGGCTGTTAGTACGTTAAATTTTGCCATGTACACGCTGTCTGATAAAGTCTAGCACTAACGAGGTTTGTTGATTTAGACCTCGAGAAGTCGATCGGTAATGTGCGGCATTGGATCGACTCGCTGCAATAATAATTTAATATACCACTTGATCATTAGAGAATTAGAAAAGGGAAATACACAGCTCACATGCATTGTCGGCTAAAAACTCGCTTGTATTGTTACATAATATGATAAATAATTTCTTGTTGCGACGGAAAAGTTGCCGTTTCGACTATGAGGCACCATACAGATAAATTTCCACGTCACTCACTGGTTCTCCGACTCGTCGGACGAGCAGTTGCCCATGATGTAGCCCATGGCAGCTTGTAGGCACGCGAGATAATAAGCGGCCTCCGAACCATCCTGGGATTCATCGATGGCGTACTGCTCCATCAGATACACTTGCGAATGCAAGTGCGGCAGCTCGCAACGGCTCAGCACGTACACCAGTAGAGGCAGGAGCACGTCGGCCGAGATACAGCTACTGTCCAGATCAAGTCCGTCCTTGGCCTCGCGATACAGTGTGCAGACAGCACGCATGAAGGAAGCCAGCACACTGGACGGCACCAGGTGCGGGATCTGATTAAACGCCGCGATCGACTCGCTGAAGATTTCCTGTTGCTTGGCCTCCTCGGGGATTTGCACCGGCACACTGACTTCTTCGAGGCTCAGTTCACGCATCTTGGCTGCGTGTTCACGCCACGCGCCATTAAGTTCATCCAAGTCGGCTGCGGTGCCACGGTAGCAGGCGCAGGCGAGACGGCTGAACACCATGTGCTCCACAAACACACGAAGCGCGGGGAGCTGTTTGTTCTCTAGCTTGGCCTCAGTGGCCACAGCAGTCACGATCTCCTGCACTAGCGACTGCATGACGTCGCGCGGCTCTCTGTCATCGAAAACCGTCTTTGGTCCGGGCTGGCTACTGGCGCGTGTGAAGGACCGCATGGTGTCTAAGCAGAGCTTGTCCAGCGCCTTCTTAAGCTCGGGTTTGAGTAGTTTCTGGCGGCTCAATAGCTTCTCGAAGCGCACCAGTGCGGCTGTGGGCTCGTCTTTAGCAGAAATCACATTGTGCACCTGTTCTAGCAGTTGCTGGAGCGTCAGACCACTAGGTTGTAGGTTCTTCTGGCCGTGCAGCTCCATGAGCTTGCCCAGATAGCTGGCCTGTAGCTGTAGCACCTGTCTCAGCCAATCCTCGGCCAGCGCGCGATCTGAATGTTCGATTCCGTCTAGTAACGTCTGGCTGGCGGCAAAGCTGCCTCGATGGCGCTGCGATCCTGTGACCAGATCGTCAGCCTCATCCAGCGCGAGCAGCGTCCGCATGTCGCTGAGCACGGCCAGCGAGCGGTTGCCCGTGGCCACCTCGGCCACGAGCTGCATCTGTAGTAGCGCCACCTGATCGCGACGGCTAGAGCTGAGCAAACATTTCACGCTGCGCAGGAGTTCGCGGCGCTTGGACAGGCGGGCCTTGCGCTTGAGCACGTGCTGGGACTCCTGCTGAATGCGACGCGTAAGCTGGTCGAGTGCCGAGGACGTGGCCGAGTCGTCGGAGACGGCGGCGTCGAAGCTGCGCCAGCGGCGCTGTGCCACATCAGCAGTCGGAATTGCATGATCCACGCCGCCGAACGAGAATGTACTGGGGATTGATGTGCGGCGACGCAGCGCGGCGGCCTCGGACTCGATCGCCGCCGATGCAAAAAGGGAGGCTGCGGGTGCTACAGTTTTAGCGTCCACGACGCGCTCGGCCGTCGAGTTCCCGGCCGATACGCTGAGATCCTCAAGGCCCATTGTTATCTTTCTGATGGCGCAGACCTGGGCGGCTAATTCCGGGCAACTTACACACGATAATGAAAAAGCAACTATGAGCCAGAGTAAGGCAACGTTGAGGCTAGCGGCAGAAAAGGCATTCTCTCAATTTCACATGCGTGCGCGAGTCGTGGCGGGCAGCAGCGGTACCGCATTTGGCAGCTGACATCAGCTGTAGAAGGGGATACGTTGCTGCAGGTAGAGAAATCAATTGAACCTTAGTAAACACAAGTCAGCGCAGAGTAATCCAGCGGAATGCAGTATCTATAATAGAGTGCTGACAGGTTTAAAGATTTGAAATCGCGTGCGAAGGGTCGGAATAGCGGGTAGTCTTTTAAATGCATTTTTTTAGGACCATGAAAATGCTGCCACCTGGTGCTTCTTACTATCTATGGCTACTAGGCGCTAGAGGACAACATGGAGCATGTACTGATGCCTTCTGGGTGGGGGAGGGTAGTGTAGCTACTAGGTGGCGCAGCTGGGCGAAATATGCCGCGGCGTCTGAATCCACCAGACCCCAAACACCGGAGTCAGCTGACGATCTCCATGTGTGAGTATCGCACCGCCACAGCAGAGCGCGAAGCTGGGTTCTTGTTTCCGACGTCGCAGCGGCCAAGATCTTTTTCAAAGTTTTTGCCCTTCGCAGAGAAGAGAAAAAAAATGTCCTCGAGAAAAAAGTTTTCCTGGCAATTGTGCCTTCGTTGTCGGTGAGCCGGCTCAATCGTACCCGCAGAAAATACACCTTTTCAACTTCAAAATGGCGACAGAGTGACAAAACGTAAGTTCAAAATGACATGACACTGACACTTAATATTTATGGGAGTATTTACGTTTGGAGTTCATTAGATGAAAGAGGCAAAAAGTGGCGGCAACTACTCCCGCCAATTTTGGTGGACGCTGGCTGGCTGTACGGCGTCGATGGAATCAGTGGACACTGTTGCTGCAGTTTGTGGCCGCACTGCCTTTCATTCATTTAGCAATTCTCACTGTGCTTCCTACCCACACAGCAATGCTGTACGACGACGCTACCGTTCGACGGGTTCTCCGTGCAGCTCACGAAGGCCAAGATTGGCGCGATGTCGCGCTCAAGAACGACGTCAAGCTTCGCACTGCTTACCGCTGGATCAATGCTGACCTCCTCGTACTCGAAGCTATCACCCCAGAACTTTGCTACAAGTGCTCGTTGCACACCATGAAGTTCCATGCGCGTGCGATCCAGATGAAAGATATGCCTGTAGGAGAATAAAGACAATATCAAGTTTGGCTTTGCTGGCTCCTATGTTCGATGTCATTTTGAACTTACGTTTTGTCACTTTGATTTTACCTGTCGCCATTTTGAAGTTGAAAAGGTGTAGTCGTGCTTGAGCCGCTGCTCACGACTTGCTGGCTCTTCTGGGGTGCTTGCCTGCTGGTGTTGCAGAGACCGAAATACAGACAGCAACACGATGTCAAGCGCGGAACAGACAGCAAATTTGAATTCAAGGCTCCGTCTTATTTTGAGGTAAGTTATTTGGAAGCTCTAAATAAGAACAGTGGTTACATTCCAATTCAGATCTCGCCGAGATGGACAGTGGTGCTATCTTCGAATAAGCGTGACGACGAGGAATCCCAAGATCTTTCCAAGACGCTGACGACAGCCAGCCACCCATTTCTACCAAAGGCTTTATCCAACACCGGAGGCGATGTTGACGCGGCATGCTCGATAGCGCTAGACCAATATCGGCGCCCTTGTTCTAAAACTGTGCGGGTCGCTAACATGACGGCGGTCATGGAAGCTCGACGAAGGGCCGTGCGGCCCCGTGCCACCTCCCGCGCCGAGACCGCCAACACTGCTCATCGCTCCAGAGCGGTCTAACAGGACGCATACGTTGGCGACCAAAGGGATCTTTAAGGGCTGTAGACTCGACAACTGAATGCGTATTTGATCACAATGACCTGAGCGTTTCAAGCAGGCGATCACGTTGCATGAATTGGCGGCGGTTTTGCTTACAACTATGTGTACTACCACATGTACTACCGGTGCTGCTGTGTGGTCGTTATCCTTGCCGACTTGGCCAGCAGCAGTGGTCGTCACTCAAGTGTTAAATGCATGACGAGTCACAAGCCTATTTAGCGCTGCGTTTACTGAGTTTTCTTGGCCTCAAGCTTCTTGAGCGCGCGCTTGCGCAGCGACAGGTGGGTCATCATGGCGGCCTGGAAGCAAAACATTGTTCGAGCTCGCTAGTCAGAGAAAGCTAAATATGACGACGATGGCTGCTAGGTGCATACCTTAGCCAATAGCCACGTGGGGGCGCTCTCATACAGCCAGATCTGCAGCGCGTGCGGCCAGTACGGCGAGATGAGTGTGTCGTAGCCCAGGTGTGCCACCGACGCGCGTGCGTACGTGGCGGGAGATGGCACCATGAAGCTCGAGTGGCGGATCTTGGCCAACTTGGTAGACACGAACATAGGCACGTGGCACTGGACGTGCACGTTCTTAGCCGCGTACTCAGCTGCGAGACATAGCGTCAGCTGCTCCACGTACTTCTTGGTGGCTGAGTACTCGCTGAGCAGCGGTACGACCATACGGCCCGAGCCGGAGCTCAGGTTGACAATCACTCCACGCTTACGCTGAGCCATACCGGGCAGCACCAGCTTGGTCATGACGGTGGTGGCAGCCACATTGAGCTTGATAAGGCTGTCCACGCGGTCTTCCGGGAGCTGGTCGAAGAACTCGGGGAAGTCGTACGACACACCGACGTTGTTGAAGAGCACACCGACATCCTTAACTTGGTCCAGCTTCTTCTGCAGCGCCTCGCGCACGCTGGGCTCGTCCACCTGGTTGAAGTCCACAGCTAAGATCTCCACCTGCACCTTAGGGTATTTGGCCAGAATCTCGTCGCGCGCAGCCTCCAGACGGCTCTGAGTGCGGCTCAGCAGCACCACATTCATTCCCTTGCGCGCCAGTTCCATGGCCAGCGCCTTGCCAATACCATCCGTGGCGCCCGTGACGACGCCCCACTGGCCAAAGCCCTTAAGGCTCTTGGCCGGACGCAGGAAGAACGTGTACACTGATCCCAGCAGCTGCAGCGCCAGGCGAGATAGTACCAGGCAGCCCACAGCCGCCGTGATTTTCACAGCCAGAGGAGAGGCGCTCAGCGCCGCCTGCACAGGCGCTAGCAATTCGAGCACACGGTCAGCCATTTAGATGGGGCTCGCTGGAGGAATAATGACAGCTACTCGAGAGGAGGGATTACAGAGACCTCGGATGATGCGCATCAAAAAATCTTGTGTGACGTCACCTATCCGTACTTAACAGCCTCTACTTTATTATTTGCGCACTTCGAAGAACCTGCTAAAAGGGATAAAGTTTTGTCTGAACACAACACGACACTTATTGCAAAAGCCGCCACTGATCATGGGGAAGCGGCGCCGGCTCCGCAACATGCTGACGGTGTCGGACGGCTACTGGGGGTTCGTGCATCAGAAGCGCTTCTACCGGTGGCTGTACGCGTCGCTGACGTTCTTCGCCATCTTTGCCGTGGTCGTGGCCTTCTTCGACGTCGGCGCCGGTACGACACACGCCGCGAGTTTTGTGGCTAGCAAGTACACGCAAGGCGAGCTAGACGAGAACCAACGTCTGCTGCAGTGGATCTACATATTCTACCCGACGCCCTTCGGCTTCGCGTGGTTTCTCGTCTACTTCGCCAAGTTCCTCTTTTGCTGGAAGATAAAACGTCTGCGGAAGGCACGCAACTACAAATACAACCTCATGCTGGCTTCGTTGGTCGTGGCCGTCTTCTACGCTGTTGTGCTGAAGTCTGTGCTCAAGATGACGCTTTTTTCAGGCCCCAAACTGCGTAGCGCCGTCGTGATCGGCCTTTGCGAGCTTGGATTGGTCGGGATTGAGGTGTTCGACGAGCGCAAGGAGCGCAAAGAGCGACACCGGAAGAAGAAGCTGCTTCGGGAGCAGCAGGCAGCTGAAGAGCAAATGTATCGCCAACATGAACACATATCGGACGCAGCGGCGCAGCAGCAATTGACACAATCCAGAGACCCCGCGAGTATGCTGTAGATGGAGATGAAGTTGTTGCCGTATAGGGGAACGAAACTTGCGTATGTAGATATTTAGGGAAGAAATTGAAGCGTGGCGGTCAGTTGCGCATGGAGTTTACACCGAAGAGCGAATATATGTCTTCCTTCATAACACAAAGAGATGTTTAATTTAATAATCGTTGAGTTGGCATCGCCATCGCCAACTCTGTCAGCGTAATGGCACAGCTCACAGACCAAGTTGCTTTGTGGTCGATCCAATCTGCATAATATCCTCAATGACTCGAGCTGTTGTTCACGTAAGAATTAGGCCAGGTTATCCTGAACCATTAATAGTATACTATCATCAAGAAAATATTTGCCGTCCCTAATGCATTTGACTATTGTATCAATAATATTGTCACGAAACCATCGTGCACCTGATAAATGAAGAATCCACGCTTACATGTACAGTGAAACGCAACAAAGGGTCCTAGAAAAAGTCTCCTTAACGAGTTAAATCACAAAATAACGAATTTCGCGTTGCATGTGTGCAGTGCTTTCTTGTCCTGGCCCAGTAAAGCGGCCGCAGCGAGTCATTTTTTAAATAAATTAATACACTGAGCTGTAGAAGACTGTACATACTTTTGCAAGAAACAATTGTCGTTCGACTAAGTGTACTGTATACATGTACCCACAATCTTTTTTCGGATTTTTGATACGTAGTACGTCGAGTTGTCAGAAAACAGAACTTTTTCAACCATACTGTAACCAAGAGGAATATCTTGTTGGCTCCATTTCCGAAAGAACTTCTTTCACTGCTGTTCATTCTACAAAAATCTCTGGCAGCTATGGGCAACGAACCGAGCAAACATCGACGGCAGTCGCGTTCTATGACGGAGACAGGTCCGCGCCCCATCCCCGGCCGCTCCGCTGAGCTCACGCAGATGATCCCTGATCAGTTCTCGTCGTTGCCCCAGGTGACACAGGCGCTGAGAAGCAGTGGCCTCGAGAGTTGCAACCTCATCATCGGAATCGACTGTGCGTCAAAACAGATAGTAGAAAAAAGTAATTGCGTTCTAATGGCATTGTTGTGTGGACAGGCACCAAGTCCAACGAGTGGAGCGGCAAACGCACGTTCGGTGGCCGCAGTCTCCACGATATCGACGACCAGAGCGCACACAACCCGTACGAGGACGTGATCGAGACAATCGGACGGACCTTACGAGACTTTGGTGCGTCAAACAGCGGAATTTATGGACTGGATGGGCTCTTACCGACTGTGTTGCTGCGTGTTGTGCAGACGAGGACAACATCATCCCGGTGTATGGCTTCGGAGACGAGTTAACGTGCGACCGCGCGGTGTTTACCTTTGCCGAGCATGGCCAGGCTGGATTTCCACTGGAAAACATCCGCTTCCGGTACCGAGAAGTCGTACGAAACGTGGTCATGGCGGGCCCCACGTCCTTCGCGCCCATTATCAATGAAGCCGTAAATATTGTCAATCGCACGGGGGATTATCATATCCTCGTCATTATTGCTGATGGGCAAGTCACGCGCTCGGTGGATATTCCACCGCATTCCGTCAGCAAGAATGAAAAGGAGACCATCGACGCCATCACGTATGCCAGTAACTTTCCTCTAAGTATTGTTATGGTGGGCGTGGGGGATGGTCCGTGGGAATCCATGATCTATTTCGACAATTATCTCGTGCACAGGAAGTTTGACAACTTCCAGTTCGTAGAGTATCACAAAATCACGTCGCAATTCAACGATCCACAGATGAAAGAGACGCAATTTGCGCTCCAGGCGTTGATGGAGATACCTGATCAGTATCGCACAATCAAGGCGATGAACTACTTGAATCGCGGGCCGTTCAGGGTACGCACCGATCTTCCTCGTGTTGACGTTTTCCCACCGCCGCAACCTATTGAGAACGTCCATCACAGCCACATTCACGGTGTCTTCCAACCACAGTCGCAACAGGCACAGGCACACAGTGTAACAACAACCACGCAATACGGCCAAACGACCTCACCATCAGCCCCGCTTTTTGGCTCTGTCGAGGCGACACGGCCGACGTTGCAGCATCGTACGTCGATGGCCGAGGAAGAGCTGGCAAGACTTCAAGACGCATTATTGTGCCCCATCTGCGAGGACAGAAAGAAGGACACGGTGTTTCAATGCGGCCACGAAACATGTCAAAAGTGCGGGGAGTTCCTTTCACACTGCCCCCTCTGTCGGCAACAGATACAAGTGCGCATCAAACGGTTCGGCTAAAGTGAACACAGACTCGAGTAAACTGTTGCATATCGAAAAGTATCCAGGAAGTACGCGTCCAGAGCAGCAATTCGCGCTCTTCAGTTTGATTTATTTTCTTAGGGATTAAATGTAGTAATTGCCTGTTGCAAGTTGCTTGTTGCATGTTGCAAAAAGTATCTATCGAAAGGTTTTCAGCTTCTCTTCGCCAAAAACATTGACAGATCCAACCCTTTCCTTTGCCACACAAGCATGCAAGGCATAACGGCGCAACATTTTCTAATGAAAAATATGTACGGGACGTTAGCAAAATGTATTGCGGCCACTTCCGATGGCAACCGCGTTACGATTTCGTCGTCCTCTATAGAGGCTCAGGCCTCCAGCTCACGGGAACCTTTGTTTAGGGTGCCATCGACGGCTGCTCGCGCTTCGCTCCGTGGCGAATACACACACCATTCCGAACGGCACCTTTGTTGCATCCTTCAGCCTGGCAGCGCTTCCCACCGCCGTGTGAGACGCACAGCGTGCCTCCCACAGCACTCTTGGAGCAACCTTCAATCTGACAGCGCTTTCCCCCGCCGTGCGCAATGCACAGCCCTCCCAGAAGCGCTGTCTTGGTGCATTCAGGCATTTTGCACTTGCGGCCGCCACCGTGGGCTGAGCAGAAGCCACCCACGAGCGCCGACTTTGTGCAACCAACCTCGCTGCATCGCTTCCCACCGCCGTGCGAAATGCAGAGACCACCTTGCTTGGCGCTCTTGTTGCAGTCAGGGTGCGCACAGCGTTTTCCACCTCCGTGCGAGATGCAGAAGCCTCCCGTCTTGGCGCTCTTGGAGCAGCCCTCGGCACGACAGAAGCGACTTTGCTTGTGATACTTGCAGAAGGTGCCGCTCGGGCCACGAATGGTGCGATAACAGTCCGGCTTGGCACACACCGTGTTGAGCATGGACGAGAGATCGAAGCCGCCGCGCGAGCTGCCGCCAGTGCTACTGCTGCTGTCGTCGTCGTCCTGTGTCACCTGCTTCATCTCTCCGTTGATAATGTAGCTGAGACTCATGGCCGCGATGCCGCTGACCGCTTCGACTTCTCCGTCCTCGGTGCTCCGGAGAGGTGAGAACGCAGGGCCGCTGCTGGGCGCGAAGCTGTTGCTGCGGTCCACATTCTCATCATCGTCGCTCGACGTGCTGGAGTCGAAGCGGCCGCCCGCCATAGCATACGCCATGGTCTGCTTGACGGGCCCCCCGCCTGGGCGAGCCAGAGCTTTGGTCAGCGGCGAGTGCAGGTACTGAATCTGAGGTAGTACAGGGTACCTAGAAGCGGACGGCGAGTCCGGGGTAGAGTGGATGGGGTGGTCGGTAATAAATGAAGGGATAGTACTCGCGTTCATCAAGTGACGAGCGACAAGTTGGGGGAAGCTGCTGTTTAAGGCGGAGCTTGGGAGGAATGTACGACGCTAAGTCGTGGGGGGCGCGGGTGTAGTAGGATTCCGTTGACCGGAAGAGCTACTGGAGCGGTTGTATCTCTCGCTCCGGTGTTACGCGGGACGAGTAGATGGGGTTGGAGAGTAAAAATCTCGAATGACTCCGGATGGTGACCGTCATGGTCCCCCCTTGCGCTGGACCGGCGCCGGCCCCGCTCTGCGTTTTGTGCACCGGTGCAAGGAAAGAGCCCGCGCCCCGCCGTTGCACTTTTTGCAGAGTTCTGCTGCTTCGGCTGCTTTGGCTGGCGCGCGGTTGTTGCTGTCGAAGTGACGGAACACCGGCGTTTGCAAAGGGGTCGAGCGCGTTGTCAATGGCGGCGGCTGTTTAGGGGAAGACAGCCCGGAGCGTAAGCTATGCGTGACTCCAGTCCAATGTTCCGCCGGCACCGACGATCGTTTTGGTCGCTGGATCCTGGACGCGACTTGACGTGGCGAGCGATCGACCGTGGGCCTTCCCTTTTGCGTGTACTCGAGCTACAGCCCCCACTCAACGACGAAGGCCGGAAAGCTAACGTTCAGATCAGAGTGGTGTGGCGAGTGTTGACTTCGTTCGAAGACTTAGCTCGTCGCGAACCCCATGGCAATGCATGTATTAACTTAACACGTGCAGATTTACGTGGGTCGCGAATGCGATCGAAGCTCCATGGCAGGCGCAACTGGCGAGAGGTTAGCACACTACTTTACTCTCTACGCCGTTTGGTGTCCTGTGTAATCGCTGCCTAGCGGTTGACCACGTCGATTGCTGAGCTCGTTGTTGGCGTGCGCATGTCCGTTCGAGCCTGGGCTCCGGTGGCCGTCGTCTTTGAGCCACAAGCCCGTCGTTGCAGTGACTGGCGTTGTAGCGCTTCATCTTCCGCCCCCCCGCGTCTCTGTCCGATCTGTGGACTCAAGCCTGTCTGCCGCCCCCCCGCGTCTCTGTCCGATCTGTGGACTCAAGCCTGTCTGCCGCCGTCGCTGGCTTTCTGCCTTCGTCTCCACTGGAGACTCCAGCACGCTTCGCAACGTGCGAATCGAGTGGTATGTTGTCAACTTGATCCGGGCGGCGAAGCTAATCAGCGCTGCCAGGCAGGCTGCCTAAGTTATGCCTGAACTCCCAGCTTAATCTTCAATCGAATAACTTACACTCTTGTATGGATAATTCAGACTATTTAAACTGATATTTTTTTTTAGCGCTTTTTTAGATTTATGATTTGCTAAAAAAGGGTTTTATTAATAACCCCTCCAGACCGGAGGTTCCAGAGAGTATTCGTCCGATCTCGGCGCAAATCCCCGTTTACAACCAGGAAAATGTATGTTGAAGTTCCAGTCGAAGGTCCGACCTTTGCTTCGTCTGAAGACCTCAGAGTGGATCAACGGTGACTCTCAATCACGGCTCCACACAAATTTCTCCCGTAGTGGCCTGCGAGCACTCCGTACGGCGTGGAACGCATTTGGAGGTGGCGGGGTTAAATTGGAGGCGCTGCAGCAGATCGGTTTGACACAGACTCCTGCGGTGATAACACATGGGGCGCGAGTAATGCGCCATGGTACTCGTCTTTATGATCGCTGCGCGGCCGGAGAGGAGGCAGCGCATCGTTGCACTCCACTTGGATACTTGACTTCTTATTCCGTGGCTCTTTTGCTGGGTAGATATGGTGCCGCCGACGACGCGGCCACAGCTTACCCACTCGTTTCCCCAGCACGAGCAACTACACGTACTTGTACGCCCATATGGGATGGCACTTTCGTTGCCTCGATCGAGGCAAGCGCGTTGAGTATGGTAGGTTGAGCAAAACGATCAGCCATCCTGGTGCCACGATGGGGAAAGGCTTATCGACTAAAAGCCGGTGTTCGACGCTCGACGACGGTGTCCGAGCGACTCAAAGTGTACTACGTGTGACTCGGTCTTCAGCGTGCGTGTTTGCTCTCACGCACGCAAGTCGCGCGTGGGGCTTCAATTGCACGAGGCAATCCTGGAACCGCCAGTTCTCTCGCGCTTCTTTAGTTGATAGTCCGGCCGCGATTCTAGAATAATCGATCGTCACTGGCCCGAACTTGGAGTCGAGCTTCGTTCTTGGATTGATGATGTCATTACTGCCCACACCTTTGACTCACTTGCTCATTCAATGTAGCTCAGGGCTCAGTTACTAACGGCGGCACCTGCAACACCTGTCGGGTCGTATCCAGACGACACTCGCACTCTCTCTCGACAGAACGCTTAGCGGCTAAGCCGGGCTAAGTTAGCCGACCCGAAAGACACCACTAACACTCCTTGGAGTGGCCAGGCCACGCGAAAAGCACCCAGCGGATTAGAGGTGCCGCTGAAACGCGGGAAGGCAAATGGTCACTACAACGATCAGAAATCGCGTGTGTAATGTGCGTCAAGGGTAGCGACGCGAAAGACAAGTGTGAAGGCGGTTCGGCTTGTGGCAATGCCATCGCTAAACTTGCATAAAGTTTGATCTACGCTGAATGCGAGAGGTATTGAAAACACATGAAGTATGTTAGCAACGAGCGGTTTGGACGTAAGATGTGGTGATAACGCGTACAGACGTGACACTACAGATGCAAGTCTTCCCGACGTAGCTGTCAAACGCATTTGACAATCGCATTGTTGAAGCGGAACACCATCGACCGACATGCGTAAATGTCCCAGGCTAACAACTATGTAGCTTTCCAGTTCTTCAGCTGTACTCGAGCTGGATTACAGTGTTGAGGCCAGTATTTCGTACTTCCAAGTATTGATTATCACCAAAAATGTTTTCTTTGAGGCGCCTACAACCTTTTTGATGTTGATCATCTTCTAACTGTGCTGCAGGATACCGGCTTTCTAACCCTGAATAACTTAAGCGTCGTTCAGCGCAGCGACACCCGGGAGCACCTTGCCCTCGAGCAGCTCCAGACTGGCACCGCCACCAGTGGAGATGTGGCTCATCTTCGCGCCTAGACCGGCCTGCTCCACCGCAGCCACAGAGTCGCCGCCACCCACGATGGTGGTGACGCCACTCTCCGTGCTCTCGGCGAGAGCCTTGGCCACGCCGAACGTGCCCTTGGCGAACTCAGGGAACTCAAACACGCCCATGGGTCCGTTCCACACAACCGTTTTGCACTCCTTGAGCTCCTTGGCGAACGTAGCCATTGAGTTCGGACCAATGTCCAAGCCGAGCCAGTCAGCGGGGATGGCGTTAGCGGGCACGACCTTCGACTGGGCGTCGGCTTCAAATTTATCCGCAACCACAACGTCCGTAGGGAGCACAATCTGTACGTCACGCTGCTTGGCCTCCTCCAGGATCTCCTTAGCGAGTGCAACCTTGTCCTCCTCGATGATGGACTTGCCGACGTCTAGACCCTGCGCCTTGTAGAAGGTGAAGATCATGCCACCGCCAATCATGATCTTGTCGCACTTTTGTAGTAGCGATTTAAGTACGGGGATCTTAGTAGATACCTTGGCACCTCCAATGATAGCACCGAGTGGACGCACGGGGGCGTCCACCGCGCCGGACAGATACTTAAGCTCCTTCTCAACGAGAAAACCGGCCACGTTGGTTTTGATGAAGTTAGTCACGCCCTCTGTCGAGGCATGGGCGCGGTGTGCCGTACCGAAGGCGTCATTGACGTAGATGTCGGCATCATGGGCCAGCTGTTTAGCAAACTCGGGGTCGTTCTTGGTCTCCTGCTTGTAGAAGCGCACGTTCTCGAGCAATACGATCTCGCCGTCCTGTAGCTGGTCGATACTGGCGTCTACCTGGGGGCCAATGCAGTCGTCCAGCTTCTTGACAGGGCTGCTGAGAAGTTCGCCCAAACGTGCGGCCACGGGCGTGAGACGCAGCTCGTCCTTGGCCTCACCGCCGGGACGGCCCAGATGCGAGCACAGGACGGTACGCGCGCCTGCACCCTGCAGCAGCTTCAGCGTGGGTAACACGGCGCGAATACGCGTGTCATCCGTGATAGTGGCGGGCGTGACATTCTTCTTAAACGGCACGTTCAGGTCGGCGCGAACCAGTACACGCGCGCCTTTGAGGCTCTGGCGCTGTGCGAGCTGCTCCAAGCTCAGCTTGGATGTGCTCATAGCACGCACTACAGCGCTGGTTGGGCGGGCCAAGTGCATGCTCATACGCGAGAGACGAAGCATCGTGGAGGGTGAAAAGGCGGAGACTAAGGCGTTCGGGATCAATGTGTGAATGATACGCCGGTACTGCAATCCAAGCACCAGTCTGCTTGGAAACGCGAGCCAATTATCCTTGTGCGATGTGCAATCAGCATATTTGATGTGAAATTTCTGTAAGATGAGATATCGGTTTATACAGTCGCTTTGAGGCACTTTTGTATTAAATCAAGCTAATCATTGATTTCATAATGAAGTCTATAAGTTAAAAGCGCATCAAATCGTTTTGTCGAATTTCTCCTAAGAAAAAGAAACGCGCTGCACCGTTCACGCTAATTAGTCGTACAGTAGTTCGCAATTAACGCTACATGTAGTCTAATTTGCAATTTAGTGATATCACAAATTCGAAATATTTGATAAATATGACCAAATATACCGAAAAAGACCGGTTTTGAAGGTCTCACCGGGCCTTTGCTCCAATGTGTTCGGTTTAAAAATTAGACCAGTAGTTCTTACAAAATGGACAGCTGAAATACCTGTATATTGGGCTTCGATCTGTACACCACAATTGGTCCGGGTATGACTAATTAGCGTGAACAGTGTACAATGAAGTTCACGCCATGAAGGAATGGGCTTGCGAAGCATTCGACACAGCTTGAGCACGCTTGACACTTACCAGCACGATACAAAGCACGAGTATGGTATGAAGCTCTCGCCTAACTCTCCAGTCTACAATACTGTCAATGCTTCATCCCTCTAGACGACGCATCCTTCGCCTAACACCTCCTTCATGATCGTTTGCAGCTTAAACATCACCATCGGAGCCCCCGGTCGGGCAGCAGGATACAGCGTGACACACTCTTCTGCCAGCTCCACAATAGAGGCAAGTCAGTGGGGCGGAAATGCAGCCCGCAAATCGCCCGACGCCACCCTCTGGATAAGAGCTGCATCAGGCTGGTCTCCGGATCAATCCTGGCGTGAGAGTACGGAGGTGTCTGCAAGTCCAACTCCGACAAAATAACACCCAAAGAGAAGCTGTCGGCCTTCTCGGAGCAACGTTGTGCCGTCATCACTTCAGGCGCCATCCACTGCATCGCTCCAACCCCTGCTGTCATTGTATGATGTTGCTGTTTTTTCGAGGCGCCAAGGTCTTTGACTTTTGCTTCCTGTTCACGGTAGCTTCAACTTGCCACCTTGAAGCTGCTCATGCCTCGAGGACTGTGGCACCTCGGTGAATTCACAGCTCACTTCGTCGACGTGGACCAACCGCGGGCCGAGGGGGAGGCAGAGAGGCAGTGCGAACAACGTTGGGAGCTCCAAGTGGCTGTATACTCGTGACGTGGGAAGTGTCAGCGGCTACGGACTGTATCGTGTCTGGTGAGTGTAGGACTCATGGGGAGTCTCTACTGGATACCAAAGAAAAAGGCAGTCGTGATACCTAGCTAGCAAATTGTTTAATTCATTCCCTTTTGCATATGGAAGTCAAGGTCGCAGGCGCGACAAACAACAAAGAATGCTTTAGTGGAGTCGAGTCACGACATGGCGTCTCCATTGAGAAGTCGTCGGTCATCCATTGGGAGGGGGACCGTCGGATGCCGTCGTGGAGGAGTAGTTAAGACAAGAAGAACGTCGACTTCATCGCTCCAACAGTCGCTGCAACAGAGTTTGCAAGAGGAGCACTCTCGCCAGCTGCAGGAAGATCGTAACCGTCAGGCAGAGGCGATGGCTCAATAGTTAGCTACAGTGCGGCAGCTCAGGTTGGAACAACCTCAGAAGTTTCATGATTAACAAGAAGAAATGGTCCAGCGATTCTCGCTGGACCTGCAAGAGCAGTTCCAGAGCCAACTGCAACTAAAAGGGGACTACGATGCGCTCCGGGCTCAGATGGAGCAGCAGCAAGAGCTGATGACAACTTACAACGCTGTTCTACGGGAGGCGTCTGGACGGGTGGGCCACCAGGCTCAGGAGATTGAGAATCTGCGAGAAGTGGTACACTTGCCAACTTCCCCACGCGGCCAGGTGCGATGGGGGTGGTTTGCTCGTCAGCCGCGAGAGACCGAAGATTTGCTGATGACTGGACAAGAAGAGGAAAAAGAAGCAGACGTAAGTGCGCCACACTTGACGTTAGCAATGAGAGGAAGCGTACCGACGCCTCCGTTGTATCGAGGAAGCTCCCGTCGCGAGAAGAAGGCGTTTATGGACAGCTACTTGGTGTATGAACGCAAAGGAAGAGTGCTGGACTAAGGGAATCGAGAGGTTGGCCAGATCCGCTTGATGCCTCTGAGCTCGTGTATTGAGCATACGACACTCTTTCGTATCTGTGACTACGAGCTGCAGCGCCCAAAAGCGGAAGTTACCGCAGAAATGTGGAAATCCTACTTCCTGAGTGCTCGTAACAGCGATACCAAAGACTACGCGCGACTGGCTACTGCTATGCGCGGTCTCGAGATGAATACAACGCTGTCTGATGCCAAGTCACGCGTGACCAGACTTGTCGCAGATTTTCACTCGATACTGGATGCGCAGAATGTGGACGATTTCTCCATGGAAAGCCGAAGTTAGCAGTTCAATACTTGTGCAAGGGACTTCGACCGCAGGCGTTGAAAGACACAGGCCTCACGAAGCTGAAGAGGACGATTAACAAGCCGTTGACACCTAAAGTTCAGTCGCTCTGCTTCTTCGAGACAGCTTTGACTTCGTCCGAGAAGAGCAACACCAGCATTAAACGTCGGTAAAAGCGGGAAAACCGCCGTGGCTACAAGTATGAGTAAGGCGAGAATAATGGAGGCGGGAAGGCAATTCCTATATCGCAACAGCAGCAGCGAACGTCGACGGAAGGCCCACAGCACGGTATTTAGCCCAAAGCCTAAGTGGAGTGGACGTGCTATAAGTGTAGGGATCCGACGCAGACCGTGCTCCAGTGCCCTAAGGCAACTACAGATAAAGCTCGCGAGTTGGTCAAGGAAAGTCGAAAGAAAGGTGTGACGGCTGTGAGTGGACACATCCCTCTGGAGTTTACGGTAAATGCTGACGGATCCACGCTTCCGTGTGGGATTAACGGCGCTGTAAAGGGACACATTACTCTAGACACTGGCACGGAGTATTCCATCGTCGCTGAGTCACTGGGGCATAACCTACGAGATCGTAAAGAATGGCTGTCTATTTGAGCTTTGGAAGTAGCCGCGGAGGCTGAAGGATTTGGCGGAGCTATCGTCCCGATTACTCAGAAGATTAAGCTGGATATTGGTGCTGAAACCCTCGTCGGTAAATTAATCGTTGCAAGCGTGGTGTGCTGGATCTCGCCGGAAGAGCTACCTGCTGGAAAGAAGGATTTTCTACAAAGTCGTCCACTGATGCGGAAACTCGGCTATGACCCCGTGGGTATTTTGTCTAAAGTGCGTGAACAACATAGTGTGCTGGACATGGAGTCTGTTGGGCCCGAAGGCAAAGGAGGTCTACGACAGGTGATGGCGGTGGCGATGAACTTAGGAACTCCAGTACCTACTCCCGAAGAGGCGGGTTTTCTGTCTGACGAAGCGTACGCAGGTTTTCCTGAAGGTATTGGCAACGAGATCTTGACGAGGATCGAAAGGAAGTCTGGAGCGCGCTACTTCTAAAGATTAAGGAGGCTGAAGCGAGAGGTGCCAGTGAACTCTACCTCTACCTCCTAGAAGCATTGTTGTGGGAGGACATCGATACATTCCGTTTACATCTGGGGAATGATCCACCTGTGGATATGCCGCCGTTGGAGGTCACGCTCAAGCCAGAGGCAGAGTCTGTGCGCTGCAAGGCGCGACATTATTCGCGGCAGCATCGAGAGCTTACGCGGCGTCACGTGGAAGAACTAGTGGCAGATGGACTCTGCTACAGGAGCCCCAAGAGCAAATAGTGTTATCCGCCTCTCATTGTGAGCAAAACAGGACCTGACCCCTTTCGTATGACTGTTGATGTCCGCAAAGTTAACGCGCAAACCCTCCGAATTATGTGGCCTATGCCAATGCTGGAGGTGATCCTGGATTTTTTGCATGACTCGAGATACTACTTTTTACTGGATTTCTCCAAGGGGTACTGGCAGTTCTTACTGGCCTTGAATAGCCAGGAGTTGTTCTCGTTTCTTACGGATAAGGGTGGTTTTACGCCAACGCGAGTGCTAATGGAGGGGTCGGACAGTGTGACCGACTGTCAAGCCACGGTACAGAATATGCTCGCTGTATTTCTGTACAAGGGCCTATTAATTTGGTTAGACGACCTACTTGGATATCATGCAGCCGAAGAGGGCGTTTTCAAGCTTCTAAAGGCGGAACTTGAAGTCTGCAAGACGAAAGGACTCAAGCCGAATACATTGAAGTGATCGTTTTTCCTGATGGAAGCCCGTTGGTGTGTCTGGAGACGGCGCGAAGCACGATCCGGAGCGGATTTAAGCTCTGCAGGAGTTGCCGCCACCAAGCACAGGTCAGGGGTTGAAGCAGTTTGTATGTGCACTCAATTGGATGAGACAGTCAATTCCGGACTACAACAAGATGGTACAACCACTCATGGACATGATGGAAGCGGTATACCAGCAGGTAGGTGGTCGAACTCGTCGTTTGGTGGCTCAGGTGAGTCTACAGTCGGCTGGGAAGGTAGTCACCTCCAGTGCTTGGAACGATGCAAGGGGACCATTGGCAAAGCAATTCAACTTGCTCTTCCTGATAATAACCAGCGACTTTGTATTTTTACCGATGCCTCGGATACGCATTGGGGTGCGATGGCGATGCAAGTTCCGTATGACCACTTGCCACGGGAATTATCAGAGCAGCACCACTCTCCTCTCATGTTTTTGAGTGGCAGTTTTTTTCGGGGCGGCGCGCAGATGGGCTATTGCTGAAAAGGAAGCATTCGTAGTTATTGAGACGTGCGGTCGCGCTGATTACCTGCTGCATCGACCTGGGGGATTTGCGCTCTACACGGATCACCGAAATTTGAGGTTCATTTTTAGTCCCTCCAGTGTCTTGGCGAGCGTGCCGAAGTACACGGCAGACATATTAAGCGCTGGGTACTCCTATTTCTGGCGTATGAGTG